TGAACAGGCTACGAGCTTTCCTACTTCTTATCAAGACGACGACGATTGAGACAAGGGTAAGCACATGATGGTTCCCACGGGCGCCCTGCCGCATCTCCTTCCCTGCTCTCGACTGCATCTTCCTTTGTGGCATCTGCAGGCACGCCCGGGCTGTTCTTTCCTCCTTGACAAGTCGCGGCTAAGCTGCTCTTGCCCATCACTTTCTCCTACAAATAGTGCTTTCTTGGTCTTGTTTTTCTTCTTGCATCTTTTTGCTCCTTGCCCGAGTTCCTCGCACCAGAATACCTGCTGACCAGCAACAATCAGTCTCCATCGCCTCTGTCAGGTCCTTCGACAGTATCAGCTCCGTCAAGTCCTACAAGTCAACCGAGCTCGATTACTTGCCTGCATCCCCTCATCTTCACAACACTCCTGTCAAGATGGCTTCCAACGACGAGTGGGGCAACGGTGGTCACGGTCCTGCTGATGACCTGGGCGACGCGGCTGCCCGGTATGGCGGCCATGGTGGTGGTGATGGCGGTGACGGCGGTGACCGCACCTGCAACAATTGTGGCGAGCCCGGTCATATGCGCCGTGAATGTCCCTCTCTTCCTCCCATGGTTTGCATCTTCTGCAACGAGGAGGGACACATGCGCCGTGATTGCCCTAACAAGCCCGCAGAAGTCTGTCGCAACTGCCAGCAGGAAGGTCAGTCTTTCTCATCACAAATCGGGTTTCCTGCTTTAACAGGTTCGTTCTAGGTCACCTCGTGTCCGAGTGCAACAATCCTCGCAAGATCGACTACAGTGGCGTCGAGGATGTCACCTCTGATGAGGCCTGGACGGCCATGCAAGATGCAGTCGAAGAGCGCGATGTCTTCGATTTCAAGGAAGAGCTACGCAAGTACATGAAGCATCACCCTGAAACCACTTACTTGGATCTCGAGGAAGCGTTTCGCGCCCAGGACATGAATGTCTACTGCATCGCCACCAAGCGCGAGCATCTCCTCGACACCATGACCAATATGGACCTTCAGGGCAACCTCGGAAAGGAGTACACTGTCTCGTTCCGCTTCTCGCCAAAGCCTGAGCGCGAGCGTGAACGTGAGACCTGGCCCAAGGACAAGGAGGAAAACCTGGAGCGCCTCACCAACGCCGGCGAACCCGCCCCTACTGGCAAGCCTCGCTGCACCAACTGCAAGGAGTTGGGCCACATCTCAAAGAACTGCACGGCTGACCGACAGGAGATCGAAAAAGTCAGCATTCGCTGCTACAACTGTGATGAAGACGGTCATCGCGTCCGAGACTGTGAGTTCTCTTTCCAACCCATGAACAATTATCCGCTCACATCATCGCAGGTCCGGTCCCTCGCAAAGACAAGTTCGCTTGCAAGAATTGCAATCAGCCTGGCCACAAGGCAGCTGACTGCACCGAGCCTCGCAATGCTGATGGCGTTGAGTGCAACAAGTGCCATGAGAGTAAGTCCCTCCTCCAACCTCATCCTATATCACATGCCGTTTGGTTCTGACTGATATCTCAGTGGGCCACTTTTCGCGTGATTGTCCTCAAGGCGGCAGTCGTACTTGCCGCAACTGCGATCAGGAGGGCCATATTGCCAAGGAATGCCCCGAGCCTCGCCGCATGCAGTGCCGTAACTGCGACGAGTATGGCCACACAGGCCGCGAGTGCCCCAAGCCCCAGGACAGTAAGTCCAAACTCTCGGTTCCATTCCTTTGCCCCTTTGCTAACCGGTCAGTCTCTCGCGTCAAGTGCCTCAACTGCGGTGAGATGGGCCACAAAAAGTACAATTGCACCAACCCCCATGTCGATGAGGATGCCCAGGGCCACAATGCTAGCGGCGGCGGCGGCGACCTGCCCGCTTCCAACGACTTTGGCGGCTCTGGCGGGTTTGACGACAAAGCTAGTGCCGATCAAGGTCTAATGTGGCAGACTGCCACTGCTGGTGGCGGTGGTAACGACTGGTGAACAGACTGGTTCTAGTCTTGCCGGCGACGGCTCGGATCTGACGTGAGCTTACACCAGTCAAGCAGCATGGCACATTTGGGTGCGGATACTCTCGGGGGCGAAACTTGAGAACAACCAGTTGTCCTTATGGAGATGTGATGATCAAAATCCAGGAACCAAGGGCACGGGAGAAGCTAGGCACGACAATGGTAGGAGGGGCGTTGGGACAATGGTGGCACACAAAGGCCCAGGCCTCCTTTCTGTGGATAGGCCTCGAGTACCTCAATACCTTCTACCTACCTTGACTCGCACGACATGTGACCCCATGAGATGCCTCGTCGTTTACAGGGCTCAGGCTGATGGTGCACCGAGGTCATCCAGCCAGCAGACCAAGAAGCGCGGGACCGCTTATGAAAGTTGATCCTGCGACTTGGTGACAGAACACAGCGCTCTTGCCTGCGTTCAAGTCATCCGAGCAACGCCAAAACCCATCGGAAGGCACACCAACAATTGTTCACATGACGGCAACCACAAGCTCAATTCAGCCAATTGCGGTTTGTGATGAAAGGTTAAATTTCGGAACCGTTGTCTGTACCTCCTGCAAGCAGAGAGGAATTCCCGGCAAGGCCTACTATTGACCATGACGCGTACAACTGCCACAGCTACGACTGCCCCTCCCTCCCTTTCCAATCAATCAAAAAAAAAAACGAGAAATGCCCTTGCGTCCGGTGGTATCGAGGATTCATGATAGGGGTACAATGCGTGAGTGCAGGTGGCATGATTATGCGAAGAGTGCGTGTAACATTCATCTTTGATGAAGAATAAATGGCGGATGTCTCTGGTATCCCAAAAGTAAAAGAATAAGATATATGTAGTTGAATGAATAAGGCATGGGTTGGTATGGCGAGCGGAATGTACGTGATTCGTCAATGGGGAGATAAATGCATCGTCATCGCGTGAAGCGGGAACCGTTTGGGAACCGTTCCATGTAAAACTAGATCAAGTCATGCTGGACTTCTTGCGACGACCGAACATCTTGGAGAAGCCACTGCTCGAAGATGATTGCTCTTGGGTGGAGTAGAGACTTGGGGGATTCGATTGCGGCGGCGGCTCTGAGTCCCGCAGGAAGCTGGCCAGGTCGCTAGTGCGGGTCACCGCGGACGATCCTCGCGCGGTTCGTACTTCTTCATCGGCACGCGCCCACTGGACTGAGTGGCAGGCCGGCGAGTACCGTCGATGGGTCCGTATTGGTCGTAACCCGGAGGCATGCTGACCTGGATGGGAGTGTGGCCGAGGGCACCACCAGCCTGTCGGCTGCTGGACGACCTCGGCTCCGCCAACTTGCTTGGGCCCCCGCCGTTGGTTTGCAGCTTGAGGACTGAGAACCGTGTTTGATACCACGCGTAAAAGCGACCAATGAGGCTCGGCGCACTGGCCTTTCTTTTTTTGGTCCGGTTTCGCGAGCGGGGTCTGAGGCAACTGGTTCCGGGGGGCGGGCTGGGTAGTTTCTCAAGAAAATCCGCCAGGCTTTTCCTCCTGCTTCTGGGGCGGCCTCGGGGGTCCATCGAGGTCGTCCTCATCCTCTTCATCGCTGAAGTCAATGGCGTAGGGATCCTTGACACGCCGCTGAGTGCGCTTGGGCATAAGATCCTCTTCGTCAATGACATCATTCTGCCTATTGTTTTTGATAAGAGCACTTTGAGAGTTCACAGATGACTGAACCGAAGGCATCGTGACATCAGTCACATTTGTCGAGGCTTGGCTGTATCGGATATTGGGCAAACTGGCGTCGATGGCCTTGCCGCCGATGGCGCCTGTCATCTGGTCTGAGTCCATGGTACTGCGGAAGGGAGCCACATGGCGTGGGATGCGAGGATTGTTGTGCGAGCTTGGGGGACCCCGACGGATGAAGTCAATGAGATCAGAATTGTCCTCCCGGCTGTCCACAGCCGCATCGCGAGCTTGGAGACGGGGCCGGTTGCTGTTCGACGACACCCGTCTACTGTCGATGCTGTTTTTGACTGATGGTACTTGTCCATTTCCGTTGCGAAGGGGGGCAGGGCCATTCTCGCCCGTGGGGCCAGTACTGCGAATGAAGTCGGCAAAGTCGATCATGGACTCGCGTGGGACACGAGCATCTCTGGCTTGAGGACCGCCAGACTTGGACCGATTGGTACTGGCATTTGGCGGCGCTCTGGGTATGTACCCAGTGGGTTTGGCGTTGGGCTTGGGCTCGCTGACAGGGTGAGAGTTCAATCCGGTTGCACGACTGGTAGACCCCGACCGCTTGACAGCCGTATTGGAGCTGGGGTGAGATCGCTCGCGGTCAGCTACGCGCACGTCTTCGCTTCTTCTCGACTTAGGACCCGCGACTGGGCTGTTCTGAGCTGACCGGGATGGCTGCTTTAAATCAGTATTACAGTGCTGTATGTTGAAGAGAGCCCGGGACTTACCTTGACATCGCGCATGTTCTCCGGCGTCAGAGTGTACTGTATGGTCTGGTCGCTCTGTATGAGCTCCTCGAAATTGCGAGCGACGTTTTCGACACGCGGCGACCCTTTACTCTCTTCCGAGGTCCTCAGTGGCCTGATCTTGCCAGCATTGGACGAGCCTGATGAGCCAGAGGTGTGTATCTGTCGCGCACGCTCAGGCGAATCGCGGCCAGGAGATTGGCGCTCGACTGACACGACACCAATGCTGGTCGTGTGTCCGTTTGATGCAGAGTATGGCTCTTCGCGGCTTCGGTCCCGGTAGTTTACGTGGCAGGGCAGGCAAATTCCGAAGTGTTGATGTCCCTCTCGAGGTTTCAAAAGACATTTGACGAGTCCGTTGTGCTCAGGATCGTGACTTTGGTTGTTGCAGGATGGTGTTCTTGCCGAGGAGACCCCGGCTGTCGAACTGCAGACCCAAAAATGGGCTGGTCTGATTCCTCAAACTGGGTCTGGAGCTCATTCGGTGTCTGAGGTGCATACCTCGATGCCACATCGCGATTTGGTACGTAATCAGGCTCCTCCTCAGCCTCGGAAATTGAAAGGTTCGTGCCTTGTCGCCGCGTGAGCCTCTCAGCGGGTGACCGGGTTCCTGGCGCAGGGCCGGCGTTGCGCATAAGCGTGTCGATCGGAGCCGGTCTTGGTTTTTCTTCAACAATAGGAGGTGTGTGTACGCTGCTCCTTCGCGATAAACTTGTCGGCCTTATCCGCTCAGATCCTTCAGCCGAAGGCGTTCTCGAGCGACCGATGGGGCTTTTTGGGCCTACGACGTCTATGACGCGGGCCGAGTGCACACTTGGGGTCCTCTGAGGAATGTTGGTATTGATAGGCGGCACTTTACTGGAGTCGGAAACGGAGGGAGAGCTGCGGCCAGCAAAGGACACTCGCGCTGAGGTAAGTATTTGCGGTTCTTCAGTAAAGTCCTCCACCTCGTCGGTTTCACCATCAGACGCGTCCTGGACCCTGGTTGACTGTTGTTGTTGCACAGGCTTCTCTGCAGTAGCACTCGTGGTAACAGCGGCCGTGGCAGCGGCAGCAACAGCAGTGCTGGCAACGGCGGTACTGCCGATGATCCGAGACATGCGCTTGGAGCTCCTCCGCCCAAATTCTGGGGGGGCTTGTTCCTGGCCCACCGAGGTGGACTCTTGAACCGCTTCCGATGTGCTCGCCTGATCGTTTTGATGCTTCGCAGCGGCTTCGGCCGAGTCATCAGAAATGCCTGGAGATATGGGTGAATCTTCAGTGAGCGGCTGAGCGGCAAGTGCGGAGCCCTCTGTTGACTCGACCGCCTCTGTGATGATTTCTGTGGAAATTGCTTTGTCGGAGTCGACGTCCACTTCGTCGGCAAGTTTACTGGGAAAAGCCTCGACCTTGGGGCGCTTGGCAGCAGGCAAGTCATAAGGTGATGGTGATGGCGTGGGCAGAGAGTTTGACCTCTTGCGGCTCGAGGGTATAGGGCTCAGTGGTGTCCGAGGTTGAGACCAGGTTGGGCTGGGGAGTGCATTGGTGAAGAGGTGCGAGAAAATCATCATGCTCTTCGGACGTGGCGCGCGGCGCTCATTGTCATCGTCTTCTTCGTCTCCATCGCCTTCGTCGTCACTGTACGAAATGAGGCCAGGTACCTCAATCTCGTCAATGTCATGGTCGCCAACCGGTAAGGGTATGGCAGACGCCTTGACAAACTCTTCGACCCGGTCCATTGCCGGTTCTTTCTCCTCCAGTACCTTCTCCTTAAACCCGGATTCCGTCTCTTCTGTCCTGTCTAGAGCACGTGCTGTCTCACTAGGGCTGCTTCCCTGTCGGAAGTGGCCCCTGGAGCTCTGAGAAAAGCGCCGAGGGGTGTCTGGAATGGGAGAACGGATTCTCTTCTTCCAAGCCCTCCACAGGCGACCGAGTGTCCTGTCCAAAGCCACACGTTCCATGTCGAGTTCCTCGACCACGATTCGATCGGCAATGTCGTTGTGGCTCTTGGACCCATCTTTCAGAGACCTCTCAAAGTTGGTGCGCATACGGTGGTAAGCGGCCTGGCCCGCTAGCACGAGTGCCGCCTCGCCCATGAACTCGAGGATCGACGTCAAGAAGATGGCGACGGCGGGCGAAATGATTTCGGAGCCTTGCTCCTCGGCACCGGGCTCCAGGTTCTCTTGTTCCGTGTAAAAGTCCTCATCCTCCTCTTCCATGTCACCCAGTGATGAGTATACCATACATCTCAGACGAGTCCGCTTCCACACCAGTTCGAGATCCCAGTCTCGAAGCGAGTGTGTGTCTCGCGGTGCCGCAAACTCATCCTCATCGGCTCCCCCAAGATATTCTCGCAGCTCTTCGTCGGCATTGTTAATGGCGTCTTTTGCAAGCTTGGGCTTCAAGACTTCAGACACGGCAGGGCGAAGGGCTGTCAAGGTAGTGGCTCGGGAGACCTGGAGGAAGTTGAAAAGGAGCTGGTCAAGAAAGCTGTTGACGAGCTTGAGTGCGCCTGGCGAAACCAATGCTGTCTCGCCGGCAGGCTCGATGCCATGCTGATCGTACCAGGTGTCGGCGTGGCTGTCGTGGTCATTCGTCACGATTTGAGAGGCGGCCGATGCAGCGATGAAGGCAGCCTCTGGCGATACGGACAAAGGAGGGGATATGAGGCTGTGGCTCATGATGGTAGAGGGGCGGTCGCTTGAGAAACTCTGGCTGCGCGACCTGGGAAGACGGCGAGACGCTGGAGGAGCGATGGAGGAGGGTCTCGACAACGTCGAGTCGGTGGTGGAAGAGGCCGCCATGGCGGGCGTGGCTTCTCCTAAGTATGGTCGACCAGGATCGTATGCGGACGCTGATCGCTCTTTGGTGTGGTGCGACGACAGGTTGGATCGATGGACTGATGGGGCGTCGGTTGGCGACAGAAGGCACGTCAGTCGGGCTTGGCCCTATCAGGAGGGCGAGGGTTTGTCGCTTTGCGCCGGTTGCGTATATTAAAAAATTGGCTACGTGGAAGGCCGGCTGGAAGAGGGAGACGGGAAGCTGCGGTTCGCCAGCATTAGCGGGAGCGAGCAAGCAAAGGGCAGGCAGTCTGTCAGTCTGCCCATGCAGGGAACGTGTTGATAGCCTTGAGAGCTGAAACGGGGGGGGGAAGGGCTGATGTAACGAGGTTGGATGAGGCAGGCAGGCAAGCAGCGAGGATAGAAAATCATGCGCGGCCCATCACGTCTTGCAGGACAAGCAATGTCTTGTGCGACCCCCATGAGAGGGCTGATCGGTGACGGTGACGGTCTGCCAAGGTGCCTGAGGACGCTGAGGTGCGGGCAATGCTCGAATGGCAGGAATTGCCTTCCAGCTCTGAAGCTCTGAAGGTGGGCAGACGGTGATAGTCAAGCACGCGTGCGAGGGGGCGATGAGGCTCGATGTTCGTACCTGTGATGTCGCATTGGAGAACCAGCCTGATGGAGAAAAGCAAGTATCAAGAAGCCGGGCAGTTGGGTCGCAGAATACTCATGGATGTACGGGACGAAAAGAAAGAGTTGGCAGCCAGCCGTTCTGTCCTCCGTCGGAGAGGGGAACCGAAATGTTGGAGGCGAGCAGAGTGTGTGGCTGGATGGCTGGATGGCAGAAGGGCAGATCAGGAGGGAAAGGTTTTGGAGGAGTGGAGGAGAAAGGGGAAGCAGGTGTGGGTTTGAGGATGGGGATGGGACGGTGTGGTGTGGATGGGATGTGGATGTGCACCTAAGGATAGATGGACGGATGGTGAACAAGTGGGAAATCGGAGCGAGGACGCTTGAGGATCCAGATCGCTGAAGCCACTTGCACATCCGGCGATGTGCTTGGACAAGGGCAGGCCGTGGGCGACAAACGACAGCGACAGCGATCAGCTAGCTCTCTATACTGGCGTGAGCTTGCACAAAGCCGGTCGGGTGCCTGATTCAATGCCATCTGTCTCCTTTGCCTACCATGCCTACAGTAGGTACCTTGGATGGAAGCCGGCGAGAGAACAAAAAGAACGAAGCTTGGGAGCAAAGTTTCTCCAAGACACACCGAGGCGGGCGGCATGAGCAAGTCGGGTTAGTACAGGGGACCATTTCATATTACCCACCCTAGTCGATATGTGCACTAACGGAGCCAGGTGCAGGTGCACATGGATACTTAGTACAATGAGCGCGCCAGGTGCGCCAGGTACAGGTGTACCTTCCTAGGTACCTACCGACCTGCCGACCTGCCAGGTAAAGGAGGCACAATAGGTGGAAGGGTGCAATAACACATCCCAAGGCTGTGTGGATCTCGGAGGCGTTCCCACTGTCTGGACGCCGGAGCCCCCTTCCAAGCCCGTCTCGACCAAGATGGGGAAGGGACCGGGGCTGTCTTTGCGGATGGGCAGGGGGCTTTCGAGTTCTGCTGTGATTGAGTAAAAATGTCCGGGCATTCCTGACTTCCTTCCCTTGGGTCGCCCCTCACCAGCCCCCGCCACGATGACCCTTCCAGTCTCGCATGGCAAGCCTGGCAGTCGTGGTGGCCGAACGTGTGCCCGCACGCATCGTTCCTCTGGCTGTGGGCCCCTTCCATCACCGTTGCTGTTTCGCATGGTTGAGGGTCTCCTCCTCCCTCCTGGGCCATGCATGGTCTGATCATCAGACGAGATGATGCCTGCGCAAGTTCCCAATAGATTCGGTCAGAACCTAGCAACTGTTGAAAGGGTTCGCCGGGGATGCGGACATTTGGCCCCAATGGTGTTGGGGCCAGGCTTGGTAGAGAACGACGGTCACAGGTGCAACGCAATTACGGTGAGGGACGGTCAGAGAGGTAGGTCATGAACCCCAAAGTCAACGGAATAAGAAGCGGCGAGACAAACGTGACCGACTGCCGGTGCTTGCCCTGCTTGGTACTTGGTGCTGAGTGCTTCGATTGGGAACTGGGACACTGGCAGACCGGCACAGGTTTGGACGAATCGGCACATGCCACTGGCCTCGCTTCAGGGTCAAGGCTTGGCCGCTGGGATGGCATGGGATTGGGTGGCTGGTACCTCCTGCCTTTCCAGACTGTGAGCTGCTGCTGGCTGCCGGGATGGATATGCTGTCGCAGCTGTTTCGCAAACAACGACAGCTGCAACAGGAGGGTAGGAGGGGCCCAGCTTTCGGCCCTCCTTCTCCCTAAAACTCTCTCTCTCCTTACCTTCCTGGTACCGGCCGGCGCAGCACCCAATGAAGGTCGACCTGGTATGGTGCCCTCGCCTCCGCTTCTCCATAATCCCCTTATTACATGCGTCCGATGCAAGGCACGATTCCATTTCTACCGACACACAAAACCTGGTCGACAGAGTCAAACACGTGCGGTCTGTCCGAAGAGCGACCAGCTACTATAGCAACGGACAACCAAGGAACAAGAGTAACCCTGCCTGGAGAAGGTACGCCAACGTGGCGAACGAGCCCAGCAGACCTCGTTTGGAGCTACCTGGAAGCAGGCAGCTAATGACAGCTAAAGATCGCTGCTGAAGACGGTGTGCCACCGTCCAAGAGCGTGTGAACCATTCCAGAGCCATTCCCAACCTGGGGGAGCTCGTCTCCAGCTGGCGTCCAACCACATGGCGCCCAAGCTTGGGCCTGTCACGCCAACTCCATCCCGCACAGACAACCCAACACACCACCGAATTGGCTTTTTTGGCATATCTACGGGTCTATACATGTACATGTTCTCAGAGGGAAGCTCGTCGCAAATCGAAACGATCACTTTTCGCCTTTTGAGCTACACCATGCTGACTTTAGGCGCCTCGTTGTTTAAAAGACTAAATGCGAATCGGAGGGAAGCGATTCTGTGTACATGTACAATACCCTTCATCACCGCCACCGTGTTGGCCATTCTCGTTCCACAGGCATCGCAATGAGCCACCAGGACTGGCTGTCCATGTACACGTTGTGGCACGGCTCCCGGGTGCCAAAGATTCTCCGAGGTGATCAGCTGGTGTCTGACAAACTCCAATCGCAAATCAGAGTGGTGTCTGAGCGATACCTCATCTACCAGGCGTCCGCCAATCACCACAACTCACCTCCCCGAAAATCACCAGCCAAAATAGCGCCCGAGTCTTCGCTCGAATGTGAATCCAGGTTGTGATGTCCCGGGCTATTGGCGGCTTGACTTACTCGGCCAGGCAAAGAGGAGCCTTCAGCTGGTTGGGTCTACCCAGTGGTATTCGAGCTTGCACTGCGCTAGGAGCCGCCATCCCTCCGATTTTTGTCTTCCGTCCCATGTCAGCTGCCATTCTGACGAACGCTGCCTTCAGACCTATCCACCATTTGTGTTTTAGAGAGGCCTGAACCACAATGCGTTGCTTTTCCTACTAAGCGTTCGAGAGGACCGGGCCCAGTCACACGGGCACCACCCGGGTGCTTGATGAGCCTGTACTCTTCAGCAGTAATCAGATCAGCAAGACATGCAGGTGACGGCGGCACCAGCTCGGAAACATGGGCCAGTGCGTTAGATGGACTTTGCCAGCGGACCCTCCACATTGCCAAAGCAAGCACTCAGCCCCTCTCAAATCGATAGCTTCAAGCATGGTTAGGGTCTACCAAATCACGGTTCATTTGCGATCCGACAAGATCAGAACCAGTGATAAGGGGTAGGTACAGCTGCCGATAGCTACCCATGAGTCAACGACAAGCCTGCACAAAGGCTGGCATATGTACGCGACAACGGCGTCACTCTGGCTCTAGAATTAATTGGGGGGCAGCCCGTTCGTAAATCCAAGGGCCTCCTTGCAACTCGGCTCGAACACGAAATCGATCTTCGGCTTTCGGTCCCCCATGAAGCCTCGTTGCATGCGATTGAACGCACCGGCCACGGACAAAACCCGTTCATCGTTTGTGCACGATCAGGCATGTCACGATCAGCCCGGGCCGTTGCGTGCCCCTGGGTAGCCCACTCATGTCTTCAAGCCTGACTGCTTGTTGGCTACTTTCCCCCTGCAACTCAACGATTGCCAGTGCCACCGTTGAGACGATCAACTTTGAACAGACTGGATAGCGCACCAAATAGATGATGTTTGACCCGCGAGAGCTCCACGATACTCACCCTTGGCAGAGCAAGCAGCAAGGCGCGTTGAATGGCACCCTTGCATTAGTTCAGGGTGCGTGAGTTGATCGCACTCAATCTGCTGGATACCAACCACGCTGTTGCACCATTAGCAGCAGCAGCTGGTTCCCCCTAGAGACTCACGATGTGACACAACCCACAGTCAACAGGTCTCATTGCCAGTCACTGTTCCAGCCTCACGATAGGCGTTTTGATGCCCATGCTGAAGATTTTCCTGCGATGGGGCGATCTTGATTTGCTTTGTCCCAGCATGATCAGACAGTCGCACAGATTCTGCCAATTGGCCGATGAGGTGCCGTCGCACAGTTTGGTCAGCGGAGCAGGCCATCGCGCATGTTCGTTCGAGATTGGTGTTCGACAGCTGCTCCAGGACCCTAAACACACATATGGCTCCCCACGGATAATTCATACATTGACCCCTGTGAATACATCAATCTAATGTACAACCTGCTTCGGCTACCTGTGAAAACCAACTGTCCCAGACCGTCTCGTTCCCTTGACTACCACTGCAACCAGGAGTACTCGTCTCTGACCCCTCTGATTGTACAAGTAATCCCAGTTGCACAAAATCGTCGAATGCAGTGGATTGCAAAGCTGCCCGGCCTCAGACAGGGTCGAGTACGATCTGGGGACGGGAACGCCCCGCATCACCTTTGGAGCTCCGTCATGATTGTTCCTGAGATAACCAATCGAGGATAGATCGTGGCTTGTGTGGAAGGCGCCTATTCATCGTGGGGTGAACAACACCATAGACCTGGCAGCTGTGCAAAAGTTTTCATTACGTCACGTACTTGGCTACTATTTGCAAAGAGGGTGCAGCTGGTGTTCCTACTCGCCTTTGTCTACCCGGCTGGCAGTGTTTACAAACCTGTTGACAACAGGAGTGCACGCATTTTGCCTCGCAGACAACATGGGAGGATTTTGAGGCGTCCTTGAGCTCGTATATGCTTTTGAAAACTCACATGCCGATGCATCATGGCTTCTTGCATGTAAGAGACCTGATAAGAAAAGCGAAGGGGCCGTCATGGCATGGAGCCCAATGGACGAGGCCTAGCCTTCGTCGTGAGGCTATTTCAATGGTCACCTTCGGTCACTGGCCTGACAACGATAGAAGAGGACCTCTCACTTCCAGCTCCTCGTTGTGGTCGAATTCGTCATACTCCAATGCTCCAATATTGGGCGTCGCTTCATCTTAGCAAACCCTTCCACTGGTCTGGGGGCCGCACACTTCTGTTGAGCGAGGCCATTGAGGCTGTACTTGCGACATCACTGGCCAGACTATGGCCGCTCAAGAGACCCACCAGCCCAGGAGTCTGTTGATGGAGAGACAAGGCACCGTTGCTTAAGCTTCTGGTTCGAAAGGTCCAGTTTCAGTCAGTAAACGACAGCAACATCTCATCGACATGCCGCGCCTGGTCAGCAAAGATGCCGGCTTCCCGGGATCTGAACGCCGAAGGAGGAGAGTAATTGCTCCAACTTCCTCTATACCTATCCACGAGCCGATGATCGCACTGGACCTCTCGCAACGCGGCCCTTTCAGCCTTGATTCGCCGGATGAGGCCCGCCAGGTATGCTGCTCCCAGCATCTCGTGCGAGGCCTCGCTGCCAGCGATATTCAGCGGCATGTATGTATTCATCTCCTTCATCTGGGCGGCCCGACGGCGACAGCAAAGACAGAGACCAGGGTGCCGTTGCACACCGGACGGGCATAGGTCGGGACAGTTGATGCTGCCTGCTAGGTCACCTTTAACACACTGGTAGAGGACCGCTTGGCCAGACCAGCAGCCGCATGTGACGAAGTAAAGATTCTCTGCCTCGCACATGGCGCGAGCTGTGGGGCTGGAAGACGTGCTGGAGGCTTCGGTTCGAAGGTGAGCCCAGTTTTCTTGTGTTACTCCCTTGGAGGTTAGCTGGTCTTGTGTGTAGAACCGCAGGTGGGCGAAGCCCTTGAACGACTTTCGTCTGTGAAGTCGAGGAAAATCTTCCTCGCAAACCCCTGCGGTCGGAAAGTTCTTGAGGCAGAGGAAACTCGACAGTAGTTGAACAGAAGTGTTACTATATCGACAAGGAGAAGCAGGCCTCTATAACGATGGTTTCGTCAAGGCTCGTCACTTTCTAAGGATTTAAATGAAAATTCTTGCGCAGAATCTTGGCATAGAGGAAACGCCAGATATTGGATCCTTAATGGACCATCTACAAAGTGTACTCGTACAGCGCGTTGACAGGCATCGACCTGGAGGGGGTCTCTACGCGTGGGTCCGCCGGCACATGGACGCTGTTTGGGTCTATCCAAGATCTAGCCCGGAAGCCCCAAGGGTATCGCACATGTCGATTACTCAAGGCCCGCTGTCCGGGCCGAAGCGCGGTACTCGGTATTCTTTGTTCAGGAGCAGAAGCCTGTTTCGAGGCGGGAGCTACGGGCAGAATGTGGTACTTGCAAGGCAGATGCGGCGAGTGGGTGCCTTGTTGCAGTGAGGATATGAGAGGGTCACGACAAGCTGGTGTGTTCGGGGCCAGTCTCAGAATTATCAACAGGCCTGTGCAAGAAAGAGGCTGAACTTCATGTTCACGCACACCGGGTATGTTCACTTGCCGACACTTTGCCAACGAGGCAGATTCAGTCAAATGCAACAACGCGAAGGTAAGACTGCCTCTAGAAAGCCTGCGCCATGAACTCACTACCCTGGACGCAATCCCCCGGTGAAGCCAAGTCGAGAGCCTCCCTCCAACATCGCGGCCAAGAAAGAACGAAACACGCCCCAAGCCACGGGAGACACAAAGTGAACAACTCAGTCGACGAGCCTCGCCAGGTTGACGCCGTCAAAGAGCGGCATCAACCACGCATCGAGCCTCGGATCAACATGCACCTTGTCATTGTACCGTCTGAGGTCGTCGACGTCGCTTGACCGCCAATACTCGGACCTCTCCTTCTTCTCGCGCACGACCCAGGGGTTCTCGTCGCTGTCATCAGCGATGATGCCCCTGCGCAGGACATTGTCGGCGACGATGAGGCCGCCGGGGCGCAGCAGCCGCGCGCCGCCGCTGGCGGGCGACCCGGCGAGGATGGCATCGAGGTAGTCCGGGTAGCCGGACTTTTGGGCGTCGATAAAGATGAGGTCGTACGGCTCGCTTGGTCGGAGGGCGGGGAGCGTGGACAGGGCGTCGCCGACGCGGACGTCAACGTTTGTGACGCCGTTGGCAGCGAAGGTGGCGACGGCTTGGTCGGCGTAGGCCTGGTTGAACTCGAGGCCCGTCACATGGCCCTCGGGCCCGACGGCATGCGACCAGACGAGGGAGGAGTAGCCGACGTAGACGCCGACTTCAAGGACTAACCCGGCATAGCATCTGTCAGCGATGTGAGATGTTCCAGGGCGGGTGCATGTATGAGGGAGTCAACGAAATTGGGTACCTCGCTTGGCGCCGATGAGCTTGGCCAGCCAGATGTGGTTCTGGGCCTGGAAGTCACTGATCATGTAGTTGGAGGTCTCTGGCTGCGTGGCGATGATGTGGGCGTGGTAGTCGGTGATGTGCTTCGGGAGAGGGGTCGAGTGGGTGGACGAGTATGAGGTCACTGCGGCTGAGACGTGCTCGTTCGGGTACAGGACGGGGGCGTCAGACTTCATGATGGCTATTCTGGTTCTGAACTTGTCCCGCTGATCTAGTATAGTTTGCGTAGTTGGCTGGTCGTGTTTTTTGCGAGTTTCAGTGTCCAAGTTAAAGCAGCAGAGGGATCCGTCGTTTGGTCAAGCAAAGGAGACGATAGATGGTCGTGATGGGTACGCATAAGCAGTGCAATGCACAGCGACTGAAGCGGCTCAGCCTAGGGCCGATGATCGGGTAACCTCGCAGACAAAGACGTCAATCAGCTGCAACCCCCGCTTCTCCAGAAACAGTGGCCGGACTTGCGTAATCTGCCGGCTCAGCTCGTCATGGCCCGGCGGCGGCTCGGCTCGGGGATATATCATTATCCACTGATATTGTGCCTTGCCTGCCCGGTTGTTAGATAGTATTCAAACCCACAATAATCATGCTCGCCCATTCAATCCAATGTCATGAACATGCTCACAAGGTGGTGCCATGTTGGCCCTCTAATTACTGAAACGCCATGATAATATTCGTACTTGTCTAGGCACAACCTACACTGCAGCCAGCGTGGCGAGCGATCCAGGCTGTCTATTGCACTTCCGGTTGCTCCTCCATGGATCACCATGACCATATTCGTTTTATTTTTCCTTTTGTGAACAAGAGCAAAACATCCTCCAAGGCCAATCGAATCAAAAGCATGGGCGAGGGAAATGAACTGGACTGCCTCGGAGCTGTCCCTGCGTGGTCTTCAGTGGCCCGTGCGACTATTATTCTCGAGTTTGACTGATAGTGTCATCGCTTAGAAGTAGGCGACGAGGGCAACCGCAACGAACCCGATGAGGCCCGAAGCGACCTTAACGCGAGACCCAGCGCTGGTGTCAACAACAGTGGGCTTCGCGGGCTCGGGGGCCGGAACGGGAACGGGCTTGGGAGCGGGTGCGGGCTTAGGAGCAGGCTCGGGAGCAGGAGCCGGAGCTGGAGCCGGAGCTGGGGCGGGAGCCGGAGCCGGAGCTGGGGCGGGAGCCGGAGCCGGAGCTGGGGCGGGAGCCGGAGCCGGAGCTGGGGCGGGAGCAGGAGCGGGAGCTGGGGCGGGAGCTGGAGCGGGAGCGGGAGCAGGCTTGGGAGCCGGGGCGGGAGCGGGTGCGGGAGCAGGCTTAGGAGCGGGAGCAGGCTTAGGAGCGGGAGCAGGCTTAGGAGCGGGTGCTGGGGCGGGTGCGGGAGCAGGCTTAGGAGCGGGAGCAGGCTTAGGAGCGGGAGCAGGCTTAGGAGCGGGTGCTGGGGCGGGAGCAGGAGCAGGTGCGGGAGCGGGAGCAGGCTGAGGGGCCGGGGCGGGCACCGGCACGACAGGCACGTAGGTTACCTGAGGAGGGCAAGCCGGGCAGTTCGGGACAGGAACCTGCGTGGGCTTGGAAGGAATGGTCGTCGTCGTCTTCTTACCCTTGTCGGCGAGGAAGCAGACGACCTCGTTGCACTTGGGCGGATCCGCCTTCTTCTTGGGCTCGACCTTGCACGACTTGCAGGCCTCATGCTTCTTGTCCTTCTTGCAGACCTCGGGATCGCACTTGTTGCGAAAGTGCTTGCGGTGGTAGTACTCGCGGAACTCGCGGTGGCCCGTCTGGCTCTTGTGGCAGTGGCCGCAGCCCTTGCGGTAGTAGTGGCCCTTGCACTCGGGCGACTCGCAGTCCTTCCGCGTCGTGGTGTGGTTGCCGTGGTGGCCGTGGTGGCCATGGTGGTGGTGGTGGACCTCGCAGTGTCTGCAGCCGTCGCGTTCGTGGTGGTCGCGGCAGTAGTCGCTGTGACAGTCCCGATGAGAAGGCCAGTGGTGGCCGTGGTGGCCGTGGTGTCCATGGTGGTGGCCGTGGTGATGAGGGAACTTGCGGCCCTCCTCCTCGATGACGACCTCCTTGGAGCAGTGCCCGCAGCTGCGGTGGCCCCTGTGGTCACGGCAGAAGTCGGAGCGGCAGTCGCGCATGCGGACGGCCCCGGCGCCAGCCTCCTCGGCCTTCTCGTCCGTCTCAGCCTCAGGTACGAAAGCCTTGTTGGCCGGGGGAGGGAGCTCGTTCACGGCATCGGTGGCAGCCTTGGCGACATCCGTGTTGCCAGGAACGGCGGCCACGGCGGCGGCGGATACCTGGGCAAGTCCGAGGAGGACCGCCAGGACGGTCGAAGGGGCCTTCATGATGCCGAACTACTGTGAAGAGCGAAGCGATTGACTAGGTGAGTTGACTTGAACCGAAGAGGAAGGATGATGGGCTAGCGGGCAACGAGTGTGAAGCTGTGAGTCTGAGAAGTCAGATGGGACATGATACTCGACCCCTTTATAACCCGAGCACTGACAAGTCTCGATTCGAGGAGGAATGATCGGATCGAGCAACAGTCGGATCAAAACTGTCGAGTCGGCATGGCTAGACCTTTAGCCGCGGTGTTCGCTCGCCAAGCTTCGCGGAAGACCACCAGGAACGAACAGAGGCTTGCTCACGAAGAGAGTGTTGAGGGAGGGCTTCTTCCGACCCTCAGCATCCGTCTTGCTGGGAGCATGCTGATACTCCTTTGATGACGCGAAATCTGTAACAGCCACCAGGTAGTAACATGTACTGAAAAGGCCGCCACAAGCGCCAGACATGCAACATGGAGGTTGTTGTCATCTTGCCGAGTAGACTCATGAAGAGTCGCTGTGTTTAATAACCTTCCTGGCTGTCAAGCCCCGCCGCCATCACAAGTGCTCTTCAATAATCATGAGTTCACGATGCTCTTATGGCTGAAGCAGCCCGCTGAAGAAAAAAAAGGGGGCACTTCTTCGCAGCGGCAACCGCCCCGGATGAACGATATACTAGCGGCCAAACTCAGTCTAATGCTTTCAGAATTGCCAACGTGTCGCTTACCAATGTCAGACTATCCTCGGGAGAGGACTGTTCGAAGCATCGGACGCCGCGGTGGCGGACCGACCCGAGCCCACCAATTGGTTAAGTTGCGGTCGAATGAAGATGAATTGTGTTGCGCATGGCGCCCCATAGGTAGAAGGAACAAATGGCGGGCAGACGGGAACCGAGGCTGAAGTTGATCTGAGGAGCGCAAGCCCTCGTTGATATTCGATTACCATGCCTGAAAGCTACTGCTCCACCTGCAACGCAAACGCTCGGTCGGATATTTCCAGTCGTCTCGAACGCATACTCGCTGTTGTATGTACCTGGTGCTCCTGTTTCTTTTTCTTTGCCAATCCCAACCGTCTCGCTGTGGTGTCAAAACAAATACAAGTGATCGTCCCCGCAGAACGCCCGCCAAACCGCCCTATGCACCCTGGTTCGCCCTGGCCCCTCCTCCGAAGCCCGATTGTCGGATCGAAGTGATGGATCGAGAGTAGAAAACTACTCGTCGGGCGTGCTGCTCTGAAAGAGGCCGACGCGCATGCGGTGGCTCTGCGGTCCGTTAGCATTGAGTTTTGGGCGAGCGCCACGGCAGCAGCAGCCGCAGCCGCAGCAACAGGCAAAGGGGGGGACGCACAAAGGGGAGCTTCGGAATGACGACCGCCAAGAGGGCCATGAAATTGATGATAAAGTATGCGAGATCGTAGTGTGTGTAGTGGGTGCTCAGCAGGAAGAGCATGATGGGCACGCTGAGAAGAAACTTTTTGGCGGGAGTGTACTGGGCGCCATCGTCGATCTGCTCCCACATGTTGAGGTTGTCGAAGGCTCCGCCGTTGAACTCAAAGGGGATGCCACGGACGTAGTGGAACATGATGTACGAGCCGACCATGTAGGTGATGTTGGTGAGTGTCCATGACGTCTCCTGGGATACGCCGGGGATGATGTCGTAGAAAATCTTGAGTCCAGCAATGAGGACAAAGTGGATGGTCCAGGCACCTGCGGGCGGAAAAGAAGATTGGTGAGAGAGCTCAGAGGTGCAGGACGACGGAGGGGAAGGCAGTGGCACTGGCTCACCTTTGGCGTTGACCCAGTTGGCATTCAGGTTGGGCACGACGGCCTGGTCACTTATCTGCTCGAGAGTCTCGGGCGGCTCGTAGTGGACCTGGAGTATGCTACTAGACCTCCTGCGCCTGCCGGTGCGATCCGCCATGGCTCTGTACGAGGTGCTGCCACGTCGAGGTTGGTTGGCGGCTCCGTCGTACGAGACGGTTCGAGAGATGAGAATGGGAGAAGACAGTTTGGCGGTATTGACGGGGGTCTCGTCGGGAAGAGAGAGGTGAGGAGATGGGACGAGGGCGTGGGGATGTGGGTGAGGACAGAGAGAGAGAGATGGAACGAGTTTGTTGCGATGGCGAGGAAGCTTTTCGGGAGCTCGGAATGATTATCGTGGCCCCTTGTTGGGATTGTTTCGTACGGGACAGCCCCCTTTCGTATGATGTCACAAAAGGCGTCGGTTGTCGGTCGCAGCGAATTGATGCGAGGCCAAAATTAAGTTCGTCAAAGTTGTCTGAACGAATGATGGAGAAGACTGCTGATGGTAAGAAAAAAAAAAAGCAGGCCGTTGAAGAAGGCTCTGGGTGGTATTTGGTACAGTACAGCGAAGAATGGAAGATGCGGCTCGTGGTTTGAGCAAGATGGGGGGTGGGTGGGCTGTGGGAAAGTGAACAGCGAGATGGGAGATAGATTGACGTTGGCCCCCCCCCATATCCACCATCCACCACCCACCAGGACCGTGCAAGGCGTCGTAAGAGGAGCCCACTTGGCTGCAGCCGAGCAGTGTTGCAGGCGGCGGCCTTGGTGGCCTGGCCTAAGGTACCTTGCCTACAGGTACCTACCTAGTTAGGTGGCAGCAGCACGGGGCACAGGACACAGGACACAGGACACAACGCTCCAGGGCACCGGGCGCAGGACGCAGGGCAGGACCCAGAGGACAGAGTACGCTGATGAACAGTGGGGCAGCACACATAGGACACTGTCACACTGGGCACGGGACACGAGACACTACCTAAGGTACCTAGGTAGGTAGAAAGCACAAGGACAGCCAGCCAGGCAAGGGCCACCCAGATCTCAATTGACCTGCAGGCAGGCCCCCTTCGCCCCCCTGTCCTCCCCCCCCCCTCCGGAGCATTCTAGTCTTCTTCCTCTTGCTCATACGACCCCCCCTGCTTACATCATCCTACCAGTACTAGGCAGCGCGAAGGATGCAATCAGGACGCTGATATTTGAGGTGACCTGGCCAGCCCCGGGGGCCTGGAGCTTGGGAGAGTGGCGCCTTCTCCCATGGGAAAGCAAGAAGAGACTGCCAGATGTACAAGTATGTCTTGGGAAGGACTAAGAAATGTACCAGTAGGTCGCTAGGCCCTCGGAACAATTCCCACAGTCCGAATGACCTGTCTACTGCCCGTCACCTGAAAGGAAGGGGCCCGTAGTGCAATGTCAATCTCGTCTCGCCAAGATTGGTCCGCGGGCTTCCGCTTCCATTTCAGGGTCTCGTCTCCATCCAGAGGTCCTTTCCCAACATGCCTGCGCCAGTGTTCCCGGCCTGTTCGCCCTTGTCATGGTGGGTCCCCGGCTATTCTACGGCCCATCTCCAACGGCGCCCCGTCGTTCCTCGCACCTTCCAACAAGTTACTCCCTTCCAAGGTTCCTTCCGCCCACTCCAGGTTGGTTGGTAGGAGCGGCACGATAACGATAAGGCCATTAATTTTTCGATGCCTGCTTGCTTTGCCCCCTGCCGCGCTTCATGAACTGCACGAGCATCAAGGGAGCTGCTTCACGAGGTTGAGCCTTCTCTGTTGCCCGACGACACTGCATCACGCCGGACCAGGTTTTGAATAGCTTCCGTCATTTCTTTGTGCACGATTTGGGGCCGATACCCGTCACTTGCCCCTCCTTGCCTCGTGTGCCGCCCCGAGGCGTCACTCATTCATACCCAAGTCACGTCCAGGTCACATTCACCTCGACCACCACCCCCGAGGCAGACGCATCCGCCGCCGCATCTCATCGACGAGGAGCACCCACTCCCTTGCGTGCCCGGAAACTCATCAGAGATTCTTGACCCCGGACTTTTTGGGGCATTTTCACCACAGAGGGATTCCACATTCATTAGGGGCAGGCACCACCAATCACGGCAGGACCATTCGAGCTCACGGGTATTCAGACTGTCGACTTTCTCTGGCATTGACACCGACGTCCTCTTGAGAATAATAACTCTTCGGGCATTATGGACGCCTCTGACGAGGCCCAGCCTGCGGTCAGCTCTCCGGCACCCGCCATTCTTGAGGCCCAGCAGTCCTCGAAGAAGCGATCACGGGAAGTGAGTGAAGAGGCGACCCCTCTCCCTGCGGCACCATCTCCTCAGCCTGAGTCCAAGCGTCAAAAGACTGCGCCGCCTTCTGGTCACGAGCCGGCAGTGGAAATCAGCAAGGCGCTGGGAAACACAGTTACGCCAACAGCCGCAGAGGAACCAAACATAAATAAGGCCACGCCAGGGCCCGCCTCGAACACGAACAACTCCAAGGGGCAAAAGAAGACGGGAGGCAAGAATTCTGCCAAGATCTTCACAGACGAGACTGGCCAACAATTCCTGCTGCCCACGGATCCGAAGATCATTCGTAAGAAGCAGGCCGCTGACACGTGGCATGAGCGCATCACCAGATGGATCAATGCTCTTGTAGAGCAGAACAAGGATAAGGGGCCCCTCATGACACCAGCACTCTGTATTGATATGTTCGCGCACGCCCAGAGCAAGGAGAAGGAAAGCAAGACGGCACTACACCGGATCAAAAAGCTGCAGAAAGGGGGCAAGTTGGACACGATGGTGGGCCTCGCGCTCGAGGCTGTGCATGGACCCGGGGTTTCTGCCGCAGGAACATCGCAGGATCCCATCTCAATTGGTGATGATGGCGAGGCCGAAGATGCAGAAGAAGACGGAGAGGACACGGGCAGCGGGGACGAGGAGACAGATAACACGACACGCCCGTCGACATCTGGTCCTTCTGGCGCAGCTTCTACCCAGGGCGACGACGACGCGAAACGGCAAGAGTCGGCGCCAACAGCAAGCGATTGGGCGTCACTGCTCGGGCCCGAAGCGGGGAGCGCCGCAGGGCAGAGCGCCGCAAAGGCCAAAGGCGACGACAACAGGAGCACACAGCACGACGAGCCAGAAGTGGCTGGGTACCGGCAGATCATGAGAGAAGACGAGGCCGAGAAGGAGCAGCAGCGGTATTTTCCTGGCGCGACTGACATCTGCACGATTTGCGCGGCCACTGGCCACTCGTGCATGGCCTGTCCAAACACTCTCTGCCAGTTCTGTCGGGGTGATCACTTTTCGTGGAACTGCCCGGGACGATCAAGGTGCGCCAAGTGCCGACAGTTTGGCCACACCAAGTCCAAGTGCAAGGAGAAGCTGGCCATGGCGCTCGAGGAGGGCCTCGAGTGCGCTTTTTGCGGCGAGGGTGACCACCTGGAGAATGCCTGCGACAACGTCTGGCACTCATGCCACCTCCAGCCAGAGAGCTTGCACACGGTGCGTTACATTGCGGCGTTCTGCAGCTACTGCGGGTGCGAGGGACATTACTCGTCAGACTGCCCGGCGGGCGACCAGCAGCCGTTTCCGCAAAAGTGGACGGCGACTTGGTCGTTGAAAGACCGCGATCTCTGTGTTGACGCGAATGCGACGGACGAGTCGATCGCGCGGTTTGGCGTGGCGGCGGAGAGCAACGATCCTGGCATGCATGTGAGGGGCGCGGCGGCGGCCGCCAAGCGAACGCACATCTTCTACTCTGATAGCGACGGGTCGGAGGAGGGCGAGTTCCTCAGCGAGAAGGTTAAGCCACGGGCGGCACCAGGCCAGATGCGCATGTCGACCAACATTCAGTTCAACTCGACCATGCCGAGCACAGCCTTTGCGGGCCAGCCTCCCCTGCCGCCTGGACCGCCCCCGCCAGGCCCGCCACCGGGCAACCCTGGGTCGTACTCGAGAATGGCAACGAGCTACGGCGCACAGTTGCACGCATTACCACCGAGGCCACCAGCGCCGGGGCAGCCCCCCTCTGGGCCGGGCGCGCAGCGCAGTGGTTACCACAACGTCCCGCCTCCCAAGGGGCCGGCGGCGCAACCGAAGAACAAGGCGAAGGGCAAGAACATACCGCAAAGCCACAAGAAGAGAGCAGCGATGCAGCAGCAGCAGCCGCCGCCCCAGTCACAGGGCTCGTCCCAACAACAGCACGGCTCGAGAGCAAACCAGCGAAGGGGTAACGGTACAAGTAGGAGACCCAGACGGGGCGGCAAACAGGGCTAGTTGATCCGCGCCCTAATTCGGCTGTTGGCAGGAGGGCGAAGAGGTGTGGCGGTTCGATGGGAGGCCTTGGGCGTGAGACTTTTTCTGGCTCGAGACGTCTGACGATGACACGGCAGCAGCGGGTGACTCGTTTTGCTTTGCCAGACTTGCTGGCAAAGAGTCACAAAGACAGATGGGGCAAGGATGCCCAACACAACATGTATACTACACAGCATAGCCAGCTTGCTATGCGTTGTTCGGTGAGAGGGCATCTCGGAGCGAAGGGGCCATGACATGGGGAGGAGGCTGTAGCAGTAGCAGGATGAATGAATCAGAGGCTATATGACCTAGGGTGGGTGTTCCAGGGGGGGTTGAAGGGGTGGCAACCAGCTGTGATGTGGTGATGGGCGACAAGTCACGACTCAAGCTAGGAGGGGGGGGGGCTCGTCAGGAGTGAGTCAAAACAAAGGCCATCGTGTGGCCTTGAGTTGTCGGACTTGGGTTGGCCTTGTCGCATTCGAAGCCGTTGACAACGGATCAATGGGGTCTTTATCCACCTTGTGGCTGTGTAGTCAACACAGGCTTGTGGCACGACGACACACGGCAAGAGGAAGAAACGCCGCGCTTGTCTCGATAGAGTCTCGACAGAGTCTTGACAGAGTCTCGACGAGTCCCCACGCGCAGCCACGCGACGCGTTTCTCTCCAACGACCAATCGCACAACGGCACGGAAACAATGATCCAATCAGAACACTCGGCGCGCGTGTCTCAATCGTGACAGCGCTAGCCTTTCCAACCGCGAGGATCCAGTCAACGGGCCGGCCGCTGCGGCAGACCAGGACCCCCAAGACGGACGGACCGTGGCATCCAGGGGTTGAATGCAGGTGGCCAGCGCGCCGGACCAGTCAGGTCGGCCGGCGCGCCGAAAAGTCGCGGTCGAGGGTGCGTGCCGGTACGCTACTGCACGGCTGGGCTTCTCCCCCCCATTGTCCACCGTGAGTCACCAGCCAGTTGTTTCTGCGGGGGGCGCATCTCTCTCGCAACTCGCAACAACATTCGCCGTCCTGCATGCAGCCAGACAAAGTGCTTGTATGGGGCTGCGCTATGAGCATGAGGCAAAAACAGACACGGAGACTATGAAGAGAAAGAAAGTACGGGGATCAGAAAGAAAGTCGGGGGGCTAGGGAAGGCCAGTGACCAGGCTGAGAGGCATGGCTATATCAGGACCCGAGGGGCCTCTGACTGGGCCGCCTTGACGGCCTCGCTTTCACGTTCACGACCGTTTCATTTTCCCCGTCTGTGCCTGTGTGCCTGTGTCTGCTGCTTCTATTGCACTGCTTCATTGTATGAGCGAGTCTCTCTGTGCCGAGCTCATTCTCTCTCCATCTCTCCCCCCGAAACTTGTCCAACACCTTTGTCTCCCTGCCCTCGCACTTGACCACACCTGGCTTCGGAATAGCCTCACCTTGCCATCAGCCAACGACACAATCAACCAGCACGAAAACCAACAACATAACACAAGCAGAAATACACCACCTTGATCCTCATCAATATTCTGAAAGACATAGTCCTTCGCATCGTCGAAAATACTTCCACCAACCCGACAACCTTGCCGAAAACAATGCAAGAGCCGCCATGGACGCCCAACAAACAACACCGTTTTACCGTCTCTGGCAGACAGACAACCAGCACATCCGCGACCGCATCCTAGGCCTTCTCCCACGCGAGGATGTTGCCGCCCTGCGCCTCGCCTCCTCTGCATGCTGCAACGTCACGACCAAGCGCCTCTTCAAGCGCATCCATGTCACCTTTACCCCCAACACCTTTACCAAACAGTCCCGCGTCCATGCTCTCGCCCGCATCGGCCACCATGTGGAGCACCTGACGTTCCACTTTGCTCACTCACCCGCCACCTTCCTGCCGCCCCTCATCCATCCTCTGACCGGCGCCGAGATCTCCTTTCTCTACACGCCGCACACCTCTATGGCCTCAGTCCTCGCCCGCCCCAAGTACGCCAACACGGAGCTCGGCGAGATTCTCACACAGCAGTACCCGCCCCTCTTTCACGCTGCCACCAACGTCCCCTCCTTTATCAATGCGCTCGCTCACGTGCCGAACCTCCGCCACCTCACCCTACGCACGCCCGGCCAGGACCCCCGCGAGCGCTACCGTCGCGATGCCGTAGACTATGCCCTCATCAGCCTGCGCATCGCCCTCGAGAGAAATCCCCTGACCGCCCTCTCGCAGCTCTCCCTCGCCCACCTCCACCCGGCCGCCCTGCAGTACCTCAGGGCGGCTCCTGCCGCCTCGCTCGGCGCCCTGCCCTCCTCACCGCGCCGCTGGCGCCAGATCCGCAAGCTTTCTCTCGCCGTCGAGAGTTGGGACTTTTCCGACACCTCGACCCCGGGCCGCGATCACCTGCGCATCATGGACGACTACCTCCGCGCCATGGCCCCCTCGCTCGAGAAGCTGTCCTTCACCTGGCTCGGCCTGCGTGGGGCCCTGCCCCCTCGCACTGCCTGCCGATCCCCTCTTCGCGGCCCCCTCCTCGCGCGCCAGCAGGAAGCTCTTCAACGAAGTCACCTCGCCCATGTCCCCGCTGCCACCCGCCCCGGGCCGGCCCCCCATTCATTTTCCCCGCCTGCGCCACATGGGCGTCCGCAATGCGACTATGCACGCACCGCAACTTGCTGGCCCTCGTCGGCGCCCACAGTGCCACCGTGCGCGAGTTTGACTTTGAGGATGTCCTGCTCGCCGACGGCGAGCGCTGGAGCGACGCCCTGGCCCCTTCCACGGTTCGCCTTCCCGGGTCGGCCGAGGGGCCGACGGTGGACGCTGACCAGGGTCAAGGTCCTGGTCTGGCTCCGTGTGTGATCGAGTTCTTGGTCCTCACCTCCCGGGA